GTTGCTCTGATGCCGATCCACCGTGATCCAGTGCGGTTCTATGTTGCGACGCTCGCAGAAGGTCGTAACGCCCCCGTTCTGAAACTTCTTGTTCGTATCCATCACGATAGGACCAAACACCCTCGTGAAGATCATGCGAGTCTGCGTGTCCACCGCCAATAGTCCTTGGACTGACCGTTGACCAGGTCAATGTCCATGAAGTCCATGCTGATCTCTGGCATGACCTCTTCTGGCCTAGGAGGCTGCTGGGGCAATACCTTCTCCTTGCCCAGGTCATCTGACACAGCCTGACACGCATCGCAGCTTTGTCGCACATGAGTGCACATCTCCATGGTGCCACTCCAACCCCACAACGTGCGTACAAGCTGGTCCAACCGCTTTGCACTTGCGTGCGCAAACAGCTCGTGGGTGTAACGTACAATCCGTTCCACAATTGTACCTAACACTTCCACCTTGAAGACCAAGCGCTTCATCGACTGCAGCCGTGCTCGTTGCACATCTTCCCCAGACTCATCCACGGGGTCTGCCTCCCTCCTAACACATTCCTCAGCACTAAGAGGTTCCTGAACCTCTCGTTCATCCAGATCCATGTTGTCCTGAACAGGCAGCGTGTCGACAATCTTGGCCGAGTCTCTCTGTCTCCTAGTGAGCTTCGGAGACTACGCACTCTGGCTGCGAGTGTACATAGTTTCTAAAGATCCCCCAACCTGAGACTTGTTACACTAGTCCAGCTGAGTTTTCGCCTTTCGTACAGACTGATCCAGCCCCCCGCTGGGATTCTGCCAGGACTGCGTGGAAAACGCGCCTACCGCAGAGATGAGTGTGGCCTCTACCCCTGCTTCCTCTGCAAGGAGCCCACACCTAACCCTCTTGCCACCCGGATCAGTCCCAGCACCCATTGTGTCTTCTTTCACTATACAAGACACAACCTCATCCTCACGTTTACTGTCGCCGCCAGAGATAGGTGTAGTCTCTACCCCAGCTTTCGCTGGGAGTCCAAACCTAACCCTCGTACCACTCGGATGAGTCACAGCACCCACTGTGTCTTCAACCACTATGTCCTTCTGCACCATGCAGGAGTCAACCTCATCCTCGCGTTCTACTGCCGCCACAGCTAACCTCTCGAAGACAGGACGCTCCGCTTCCAGCTTCTCCCAAAAGTCCTTACGCAACTTGTATGGTCTGTACGGTCCCATGTGACACACCAGTGTCACAAAGTCAGGCGCAGGCATAACCTCACGGCCATGTTTTAAGAAAACACCTTCCTTTGGGTAGATCACTACCGGATCTGCCGAAAGCATGGTTCCCATCTTCTTCAACCATCTCGCCTCAGGAGCGTACGGACAAACCAACGTAGCCGTTGCCTTGTCCCTCCTGATACTGGCTACCACTCTAACTTAGGGTTGAAGTACCACCTTGTACCCATCCAGGTGCGCAAAGCAAACACCCGGTTTGTGCCAAACTTGTCCCATATCTTGGTAAACCAACTCTTATTCAAGGCACAGGACTCCGTCTTTGGTTCTACCGTGATAAGCTGGGCCTCCGCATTAGACTCTATGTTATAAATGTACTCTTAAGTAGTACATAAATTATAAATGTACTCTTAATAGTACGAGGAACTTAAGTTTCCTAAATGTACTCTTAATAGCACGAGGAACTTAAGTTTCCTAAAATGGGTTTTAATGGTTTTATTAACTAATGCCTTTTCCATTTTACATATCAGATATTTGGACGAGGACATTAAAAGACCTCAGTAAAATACCAAACATAAAGAGTTGGTCTAGTTCTATTAATAGAACTTTATTTACTTTCCAATTTTATTTATATCTGAATACTTCGGTAGCGAGATGGCTCAGCCGAATATAGGTTCTAAGGATTATTAACGTTACCTAGTTGATCCTCCGATCAGCCACCCAGATGTGCCAGTCTGTTGAAGGCTAAGCCGGTAATACTTTTGTTATAATCTTAACCAATAACTTTCCACTTATCAAGAATTACCGACTTAGCCTTCATCAGACTGGCACATCTGGTTGGCTGATCGGAGGATCAACTAGGTAACGTTAATAATCTCTAGAAACCTAATTTACGTATTGCTTAAGAGTACGTTTATAACATATAGTCCAATGTGGAGGCCCGGCTTATTAAATCCAGAACATCAAGAGATGCTGAGACCCCTCCGCAACCTTGAGCTGGCATAATCCTTGCCCAAGATCAACCATAGTCCGATTATCCATGGGACGAACTACCGAGTTC